ATCACGGGTCGTTGTGCCTGGGCAGCAGTCCGTGTGAAGAGCTCGCGACGCGAATGATGGCAGTGGACGTTTGCAGGGCTCTCATTTGGCGGCACCACTGATGATTCCCAAGTAGAGTGAGGCTAGCATTAACCACCAGCAGTGGTTGTTCACTACGTCTGTATCAACTATAGTACTCCCAGTGATGAAAAATAAAAATAGGTTTTACCCTTTGTGGCAATTAAACAGGTAATAAAATAATAAAAATGAAACATAATAAAATAATAAAATTCCGCACGCCTCGTGGCAAAATAATAATAAAAAAACATTATAAAATAATTCTCACGACGTTTCGGCCACAACGCAAGCAGCCGTCCTCAGGTGAAAACCAGGTCTGTCGCCTCGACAGACCTGGTCTGTCGCCTCGACAGACCTGGTTTTCACCTGAGGACGGCTGCTTGCGTTGTGGCCGAAACGTCGTGAGAATTATTTTATTATGTTTTATTATTATTATTTTATTACTTCCCTTCTACGTGACTTTACCGAAAGAACCAAGAAGTTGAATCCCTGCAGTCACGAAAGCTTTAAATCGAAAAATAAAACAGGTGTTAGGATGTTCAAACACCAAATGTATACCTTTTGTGTGGCATCAAGTCTACATTAACCACACGCAGTACTGGTGATAAAGCATGCAAACAAACACGCTCTGATAATAAATGGCATTGTCTTTTAAACTGATTGGCCTACACCAGAGACAGCCTTCTTTATGACCTTGTCTCACAACCAGTGTGAGTAACCAATGAGGGGGCGAGCAGAAGGGGTGCGAGCGGGTTGACAGTCAAGGATGACGTAACGTCACGGGTTACGCAAGGGGATTTGGAGAGCAACTTCGGGAACATGGGCGGAGCCGAGCTGGGGGGAGGAGCCGCCCAAAGGGTTCTTAAGGGGGGCCCGTGACGGAGGCGTGGTCGTCGTAGGGAGCCAGGGTAAGGATCAGCTGGAAGAGGGTTTCTCTCTTTGTCGCGGAGCGGTGTTGGCTGAACCCCCGCTCCGGGCAGACGAGTGGGAGAGCCCACCGGGTAGCCGAGGGTAGGACCCAAATAGTATTCAGTGCACTGGTGTGAGCGTAAGATGTCGAGTGTAACAGTGTTTTATTAAACGGCAACAGTCCTTGTAGAATTCCTCGTCTCTGCGTGGTTATACTGCACTCCACAAGTATCAGAGCACTTATAGCTAGGGTCGAGCAGTTATATCTTTGGGACCTCTTTGCCAGTATCATGACACTGTACTGGCAAAAAAGGTCCAATAGATAACGACTCCCAGTGTTTATGGGTTCCAGTAGATCCGCACGCATTTCCCTTATTCAGAGAATGTCAACAGTTCATCGACACAATTGGAGAAAAGAAACAAATACGTTAGGGAGAATCATCCATACGCATGGGTGGTGTTCGTATAACGCCCTCCGAGGCGCGACTGGTGGTATCGGGTGTCGGCATGAATGGGCCCTGGTGCTAGGGATACAAATGAAGCCTCCCGTCCAATCTCGAGCCTCTTCGAAGCCCGACGGCCATGGGCCCCGGTTGCGATTGCACCGCCTGCACACTTGATGGCCGCGCCACCTCGGTGCAAGAAGAGGACGATGATGGCACTCGGGCTTGCGCGATGTTGCTGAGACACGGTGGCTTCGTTGCCCTCATTTCCTCCGCGTATGTCTGCAGTAGAGAGAGATTCATCGCTGAGAGACTGCGCACCATGCAGTGGGATTAGAGAACACACGTACGTGTGGTGAACTTCATTCGTTGAACTTTCTGGCGAGCCGCAGACAAACATAATGAGTTCCACAGACTATGGAAATGACAACATCTTTAGCCAAGCAAGAGACCAAACAGTACGATGTAAGCATGACTCTTCTTGGTTCTTTCGGTAAAGTCACATAGAAGGGAAATAATAAAATAATAAAAATAAAACATAATAAAATTAAATTCTCACGACGTTTCGGCCACAACGCAAGCAGCCGTCCTCAAGTTTGTCGGAAAGACAGCGTCCGAATGGACGCTGTCCGAAACGTCGTGAGAATTTTATTTTATTACGTTTTATTTTATTATTTTATTATTTCCCTTCTACGTAACTTTACCGAAAGAACCAAGAAGATGAATCCCTGCAGTCACGAAAGCTTTAAATCGAAATGTAAGCATGACTGTTCAACTTCTTTCGTGCCGCACGGGGGCGGGGGGGGAGACAACAAACTAAACACAACAACAAGAAGCAGTTATATAAAGAAACTAGTGATGTTAGCGTGCCGAGGAGGAGGTGCTGCTGAAACATGACGCGCACGGACGGACAAACACACCACCGGGGTGGTGACCGCGTGCGTGCTCTCTTGTGACGTCGACTGAATATAGAGGAGGAGCAGGTGGTGGGGGCTCACCTCGGTGGTGGCGTGGATATCGGGGGGAGGTGGAGGGATGTAATAACATTCGGGGCAGGCTGTTGCCGCTTGCAATCGCTCGCGTTACAGGGCAGTGACAAATGCTCGATTTGTGGAGTACAGATTTGGCGCAGCCGATTTCTAAATTATAATTTATATGACCGCAAATCTCACTTCCAGCGAACGCGGTGTACGGTGTCCAGTGGGGCTAGTGACGACGTTATTATCAGCTTGAGGGGTGCGGCATTGGTCGGGTGGGGCCCCAATATTTGATTTGTGGAAGCCAAACCTTCCCGCTCTGGTTAAATTAAAATTAAACGTGGAACGTTAAATGAAAGCATTTTCATAAAACAAAATTTAAACCACGTTTTAAATAAGTTTTTTTGTTTTGTTTTTACACTGTTGTTGAAAACATCACCATGGTGGTTGTCAAGGGGGGCCCCGCTCATTACTCTGCTACTGACGGTGCCCCTCTGTGTCTTGCTCTTCGCCCTCCGCGTGTATTTGCCACTGAACAACAACGTGCGCCTCATGCCAAATATTCCACGTGGAAGTGTGCGCTCACCGCGCTCACTGCGCGCACCATGCTCACCACAACCATCGACCCGCCGCTTTCTCTGCCCTGGGGTTGACGACGACGTGCAACGGCACGCGGCAGCCGCGGTGTCACTGGCAAGACACCGCTGGGCAGGCCAGCGAGCGGCAAGACACCGCTGGGCAGGCCAGCGAGTGGCAGGCCAGCGAGTGGCAGGCCAGCGAGCGGCAAGACACCGCTGGGCAGGCCAGCGAGTGGCAGGCCAGCGAGTGGCAGGCCAGCGAGTGGCAAGACACCGCTGGGCAGGCCAGCGAGTGGCAGGCCAGCGAGCGGCAAGCCAGCTAGGGGGAAGCCAGCCCGTTCATTCCTTGCCACGGCTCGGTAGTCCTCGTGCGGTGCTGTGAGTCGAAGTTTAAATCCACTGCTAATTTCTTCAGATTCATCACGATACAGTTACTACTGTGCCTTCGATCAGCAGGATTGGCTACATACGGTGCGAAAGAAGTTAAACATACTACTAGGTACATTTTATTACTGTAAATAAATACTGTTGGTGTGAAAAAATTATATTTGACCCTTTTTGCCAATAAAACAGGTGTTAAGATGCTCTTTGGTTCTTTCAGTAAAGTCACGTAGATAGAAAACGAATAGATCACGACATTTCGATCGCAACACAAGCAACCGTCATCAGGTGAGACAAACACAGCAGGATAACTGCTGAACAAGTCATTGAAAATGTATAAAATTCCGTTCCCAATGTTTTGTTGGTATTTGTTTAAAACATTTCTGCATTCTGCAAGTTGCTTTCGGAAAATTCTAATTGTTCGGGAATTTTAAATCGTTCCACATTGCCATACGTGTCCCCATCCCTGGATTGAACACAGGCATGGCGTGCATAGGAGCGCCATCTCATCAGCCGCCTCAACACCCACGACAGTAACCCCGTGGACGGGCGTTAAAGCTACCTGCATTACACAATTCCAAAACAGCTACACTCCCAGTAGAACCTTTGAAAAGGAAAAGCAGTGCTGCCGCGATGTAATTCCGATGTGCATGCATACAGACGGATGGGGGGAAGAGAGGAATTTTAAGCCGTATCGCCACCGTTATCAGCACTGCAGTTCACTACTGCAATGAAGTTCAACTCAGCACGGCACATACCAATTCCTGCCACGTGAACACAGACGCCTGTTTTCCGCACCATCTAGGTCAAACCCTGGCAGGTGGTAACTCTAATTGCATGGCATGTGTCCGATTATGGGTGTTTCTTGTGGAGGCTCGTGAAGGATGCTACTGGTCAGTTGGAGGCAGTCGCCCTCCAACAACAACAGAGGGCAGAGGAGCGCTAGGCGGCTGAAATTCAGCAAGTTGGCACAGTAGGAGGCACAGCTGGTTCATCTGCCAGTCATCTCAGTCAACCCATGGCACCTGGGTCTGTCCGATGACCTCCTGTCAGCGAGACACTTCACATAGCCTCAAATGTGCACCTGGCCCGGTACAGGCGCCGTGGTGACATCACCGTCGCTTAGCAGCGCATGTCGAATATTGGTATTAGGTGTTTCTTGTGGCCCGATAAGAAATACTTTTCTTTCGATGAGTATCGAGAGTATGAATGACTTGAGTGTGGCACGTTGAATAATTATCAATGGAAAATGTTCCTCAATGGAGGGGATTTTGTTCACCAAAGGGTAAACTTGTTTGTTTCCTTTCACAGCACAAGCTCTGTGTTTGTGGGGAGTGGCGGTGAAGCAATTAGCGCACTGCGCTATGACACCAGCGACCCGAGTTTGATTCCGACTCGTAGCCAACATCGGTGACAAATATCTGAACCGGTCGTGGGTCTCCCTGAGCTTGATTCAGCCTCGAATGAGTACCTGACGTGGTGTGTAAACATCGCCACTGGGGAGAAAAAGGCGGCCGGGCGTGGTGTTGGCCACCCACCCCCTTGTGCGCCGTGCCGACCTTCATAGGTTCTCGCTAACGGCACTTGCTCCTACAGTCTGTTAAGGCCATACCGGGGATCTCTGTCTTCTCTTTGTGTGTTTGTGCATCGCATAGGCTGCTGGGCATGGAAACAACCCTCCGTCCTGAAATAGAAGTGATTTCGTCTTGACATGCATCAGCTGTGGGCATTATACAGCTGTCACAAGAGGACCTGCCATACTGTCTGATTAGGTATGCACCGTCATGTGTTTTGAAACCATATGAATGTGGAAAACTATGCTTGTGAATGTGACGCAGCGGAGTATAGGAATTTTCCTTACGGAAGGTGGAATAGGATTTGCGAATGCCTTTGGTGGGCAGCATAGAGGCACACCTCGGAGTTACACAATCAAAAGCCAAAAACACCGAGCTTTCACTTTTGCGATATTGCTAGGCTGAAAGTTTCCCATCCGTGTACCCGATTAGTGTGGCTGAGGTGCAATAACAACAATAATCTATATTTTATAAAATGCCTTTCATATTAAAACTATTTAAAACTAAACTATAAACTATTTTTATTTTACCAGGTAAGGCCCACTGAGCTATACAGCGACCTGGCCACAAATGATAGCTCAACAAAGTGGCTTATCACGTGGAAATATAGAGCAGCCATATACTATAAACGCATGTTGTTTATTCTAAATGTGGAGAGAAACACCGGAGAACCCAGAGAAAAATCCACACGACCACGGCAGGCGTTAGGGTCGAGATCGAACCCACGACCTCCTGTATACCAGACGAGGTAGTTAATATCTCACCACTGTCAATGCTTCGAGAAATTGAAGTCTCAGCACTGACAGATAAATGCCACTGATAGATACATGTTGTTTATGCCGTTTGGAAGTGGTAGGCCTCGTGTGGCACGAGGTGAACCAATCAGATACAGAATATTTATGCTGGAGATATCCGATGAGCTATAAAGCTATTTTTTACAGATGTCCAGTAGGTGTGGGTCAGAACGTTATGAGAACAAACAATACAAACATACGATAGGAGTGCAAAGTATAGGGAAGGTAACCAAATCTCAATAATTGTATTTTACCAGGTAAAGCCCAGTGAGCTATGAGCCTCTTTTTGAGAAGCGACCTGGCCACACGCCACGGCAATGGCAGACCGCACGAGTCTAGACTGGGCACGCAGATCAGCCTTCCATATTTGTCGAGCTAGGCTGTGACGGGTAAACAACCATGACGATGTTCAGCAAAAACATGCCCACGTTTTTATTTTTCTATGAATCTACAGGAACAAGACAGAGAAGAGGCACTTCCTTCCTTAAGTAACAATGAAATCCAAAGTGAACAGGTAAGAACAATTCACACTTCCCAATCGTCAAACATTGCCCTGCGACAATAGAACTCTGAATTTAGCAACCTTGAGATCACAATCTATCCGCTCTGCGGCATTTTGCTGCGAGGGAGGCGCACGGAGCGGGCAGCCCGTGCCGCTGTTGCTGCCGCTGCTACCGACACCGCTCGCCACGACGGAGGCGGTCGGTGCCCTCGGCGCCCGGGGGTGTCTCGCTCGTCCTGCACGGATTCTCAAGCGGCTCTGTGCCCTACCCTTGCACAGTCTCGTTCCCCTGTTTCTCCCGTGACATGGACAGTAGTTGTCCTGAAGAACGCTGCATTAGGGAAAAATCGTGTTGTAATAAATAATGCTGATAATATAGGGTAAAGCACAGTTCGCGATAACATGCGAGATGCATACGCAGGCTGAACAAGGACTGAGGCGCATCTAGAAGCATCCAGCAGCATCCCACTGCCTTGTGTGATGCTACGCCGAGGCAGCTGTACGACCGCTTAATCCCACTCGTGCAACATCGTTCCATTCGCTCGATCGCATTATATCCAATTCGCTTTCGCGTTATACAAATAAAATGTGTTCCCCAATACATTAATCGCGTTATATAGGAGAACAGGCAGTGCTTGGTTCAGGGTTGCCGGCCAGCTAATTGACGCAGTGGCGTCCTGCTCCAGCTGTAGCCGTGCTGTGTCCTCTCACGGTTGCTCCGCCTGCCATGAGGGTTCCCAGTAGGAGCGCTTCCCCCTGAGGTCGGCCGCCTCATAATCAGAGCCCGAACCGCTGATTGGTTACGCTTTGGGAAGCCGCTTTAAGCTGCTATGCTACTATTACTATGTTTATTTTACTAGCTAAGACACACTGAGCTATGAAGCTCTTTTTCAGAAGTGACCTGGCCACAAATGATAGCTCAACGAAGTGGCTTGTCACCGTGTGGAAATGTATAGCAGCAGACAAATGCTCCCTAAGGCATGTTTAATAAATGTGGGGGGGGGGGGAAACCGGAGAACCCAGAGAAAAATCCACACGACCACGTGGAGAACATGCAAACTCAAAATATACAGCGGACGCCAGGGTCAGGATCAAACCGTCGACCTCCTGTATACCAGGCGAGGTAGTTAACATCTGCTGGTCACAACACTCTTTTTGCATCTTCCCTGGCAACTGCCTCCAATCGTCTCCTTTTCCCAAAGCTCTTCTAACCTTGTTCCATTCAAGAAGCGCGTTGCACTCTCTATCCACCACAACTATGGGAGTGCTCTTTGTTGTAGGATTTTTGTCGTTTTTGGGCTTTTGGGGATCTGGGCTCAGCAATTGTTTCGTGCTATAAAGCTCCCTACATGAGGTGCACCCTTGCAGTTTTCGGTTAATCTAGCAGTAGATCTACCCCGCAATCACTGAGCCCCTCGGTCGGTGCCCACGCTGGTTGACCTCCAATCTGCATGCATGCCCCACCCGTCCGCAAGCCTCCTCATTTCGACTTCATCCGCAAATCGAGAAGCCCATCCTACGGATGAGCCGATGACACGTCGCCAGCCACGGATCACTCCACCGCTGGTTGAAGGCTTCGTTGGCCCCCGCAATGCGACTGTCCGCCCGGCACGCGAGACGTCGAGTCGATCGGGTAGCTCCATCTCCGCGGGGGGCATCCCTTTGAGCACGCTCCCTCCCGGGGCTGCCACTCGGTTCTCTGTCTCATCCCCCACCGTCCATCGTCTCTTCTCGCGAGGATTCCTACGCAAAGGGACTCCAATTGATGCAATTTTTTTCTCATTATTTATGTACTTGCCCTTTGCCCTTTCTAGGATGGAAGCTGTAATATTTACGAACAAATTGAGCAGAGTATAATTGTATCTTTTGTAAATTTAATGGAAGTGAATCTTGCACAAATGTATGTCATCAAACACTTCACTGTGTTTCACTGTAGCACTGTATTAATGGCAGTGAATCTCACTTCATGTCACTAGCACTGTATATAACTGACCTTCAATTTGTTCAAATTAACTGCTCTGATACTTTATTCTCTTCTGCTTTCGGTCTCTGAGGTTTAAATTAATTGGAAATCGATAGAATATCTGGAAAATCACCGAGAAATGTCTATTTAACCATAGTGTAGAAGCATAAATTAGACTTACCTTTTATCTCAAGTGCTGAGGAAATAAATAAAGACACCAAATCCACTTTGTTGCTGCGTAAAATTATTTATTAGATTCACTTTCAATATAGAAACGTGAAACTTAAAGCGAATTAGCGAAAATTTGTTTTGTCTTTCCGCGGCATGTGGAGTGACGTCACACGCGTTACACACAAACAGACATTCTTGGCTCATTATAGTAGTAATTCATCTTTTAGTTCTTTTAGTTTTTGATTTGCTAAGTGAGGGTTTTGTTTTTGTATCATCTGCCTAAAGAACCGGCTAATTGATGTGCAGCACTATAGGATGCAATTGCTGTATAAAATTGTATTATTATTTAAACTGCGTGCATTTCACCCTCATGTGAACTCCGGTCATTCTCGCAGCGGCGGCTTTTGGCTAACCATCGAACAGCCACCCCATTGCGTGCTTTCGAATGCACTTTTGCAGCCATCTGGAGCGCTCTTCCTTCTGCTATGAGGAAGCCACTGGAGCTATGCTCCAGCTATGCTGCAGTGGCTTCTTTCCCCCGCACCTCAGATTAGCATGGTTGGCTAGGTATAGTGTGTGTCACATGCTTACTGTTTGGTCTCCTGAGTTTTTGCCTGGCTAAAGATGTTATCATTTCCGTGGTCTGTGGGGCTCATTGTGTGTTTGTCCACGGCTCGCCAGAAAGTTCAATGAATTAAATTCACCACATATACGCGTGTTCTCTGATCTGTGTGCTCCTGTTTTTGTCTGTCAATGCAGTTCCAAGTGTGCACCTCTCTATGCTCCTCTCACTTTTATTTAATTTCTCTGTCTGTGTCCGTGTCACTGATGTCGCACAGCAGGCGAGGCACACCAATTACACCCCACCCCTGGCTCGCCCCCCGCCTCACCCAATGCTCCCCGTGTGGCCCCCCCCCCCCCCCCCCCCACAATCCCACACCGTCTGGGTGCCGTTGAACCATTTCTTTGTGACGCGTACAAAAAGATACGAAAAAAATGTTGACGGAGTCGACGGGACGGCCATGCATGCACGTCCCCGAGGCGCAGCGCGCCCCATTGCTCGCCGCGTGACCGCTCGTCCCCGTGTGGCCACGTCGCAGGTAGTACGTCATGAGCCTGCACCAGCGGGGGGAGCACCGCGCACGCCCTGGGATGTGACGCGGCGGCAGCGGCCGCCCCCCTGACGGTGCCCGGCGCTCGTCCGCTGCGGCGTCGCCCCCGGGAGCGGGCGACCGCGCAGCCTCTCGGTCGGCATGAAGAGCCTGGCCAACACGCGCGGCATCATGCAGCTGGGCCCGGCTGCGGCCACCAACACCTTCCTGCACCATGACTGCCGCGTGCACCACGACCATGTGCACCAGCAGCCTTCGCACTGCTGCCAGGAGGGCATGCACGGGCCCTGCCTCGTGGGCCCCGTGGACCTGTGCCAAGGAGGAGACCCGCACCGCTCCGGCTACGCCCCCAGGAACTCCATCCACTCAGAATGCCAGCTCGTGCCGACGACATCCCTCCCCGAGCCCCTTTCCAGCAGCACGTTCCCTCGCATGCACTGCCCGCCCTCCTACTACGAGGGCCCCGAGGAGTGCGTGCCCTTCGGGCCCCCGCCCGGGCGCGTGAACCGCATCCCTCCGGGGCTCATCGATCAGTTTGAGCGGCAGCTTCCGCTGCACCGCGACGGCTTCCTCACGCTGCAGTACCAGCGCACCATGACGGAGCATCGAAGCGACAGCCCCGGCAAAATCCGTCACCTGGTCCATTCCGTCCAGAAGCTCTTCACCAAGTCGCACTCCTTGGAGGGAGCCGCCGCCAAGAGCAAGCTGCACGGCACCGGCTCCATAGTGAAGCACCACCACCACCAGAACGACCAGGCACACCACGGCAGGCACCATGGCAAACGGAGCAAGAGCCGCGACCGCGGTAAGCCGCGCGCCCCACAGGCCGGCTGGTGGAGCTCCGACGACAACCTGGACAGCGAGAGCCTGTGCCATGGCCCCGTCGTGCCCGCGCGCTACGCTGAGTTCCCACCACCGCCGCCACGCTACCAGCTCGAGTCGTCGCACTCGCTGCCCGAGCAGGCCCTCAAGGCCTCCAAGAGCAACGAGGACATCGTAAAGTGCCCGACCTGTGTGAGCCTGCAAGCCGTTCCCGAGGGCCACTTCGTGAAGCACAGCTCCTGGTCCTCGCTCACCGTGAGCCAAGCGCGAGAAGTCTACAGCAAGGCGGCGATCAACGTGGATAAAATGAGGGAACGGCCCCCCACGTTTAAGCCCGAGGTGCCCCGCAAACCTCCAGAACTGGCGTGGCGAGTGTCGGAGCCCCCTCCTCGGCGGCTGCCCCCTCCGGAGCTCCCCTGGAAGCCGCATCCTGAGATGAGCAGGAAGGTCACCATCGACAAGTCACCCCACTACCTCCAGGTGAGCAACGCCAGTCAGCCAGCCGGTTGCCCGGGACGCCACCGCTAAGCGGGTCACGGGAGAGGTCGAGTGGGGTAAAATAAAGCGGTGTGCATGGCGTTCGCCCTATCCAGCGCCACTTTGGTTAGAACAAACACGGACGCGTCCCTCAGTGAGCCGAGGTCTGTTATCAAAACTGTGTCGTGTCCTTTAATAAAGCTAAACATAACAGCACCAGATATTGCTACGAATTAATCCCTGCCACCAGAACATCCCAACACGAACATCACGTGGGGTGAGGAGGCTGAGGTTAAATATAAGCTCAATTAAGCCTGCCGAGAACGTAGACCGGCAGGACGGGATGGAACCAAAGCAGAGACGGAGGTCAAGGTGAGGCCATGGCAGGGCGTGTCAGTGGTGGGCTGAGTGGAGCCCCAGGCGGAGGGAGCAACAAAGCCATGCGGGGTGGGGGGAGCGGAAGCAACCTCATGCGAGCGATCGTTTGTGTGCTCACGTGAGTAGAGCCCCGTGCAGAGAGATCACAGGGAGAGCACCAGGCCATGACGAGAGATCACAGGGAGAGCACCAGGCCATGACGAGAGATCACAGGGAGAGCAACAGGCCGTGAGGAGAGATCTGAGGCTGCTACACGGGGCACCGGCTGCGGGGTCGCAGCAGGCGAGCGGCCGTGCACGACGCAGGCGCTGTTCACTCCAGCGCCTGATCCCAGCTGCCTGCTCGCTCACTCGCTCGCTTGGCTCACTCCAATTGGCTGAGTGGACCGCGGTCTGACGAGCCGTGTGGGATGTGACCCGATCTCGATCGGCTTGGTGTTCCAATCTATGCACAGATCTGTCTCGGTATCTATTCCAGTAACAATCTGACCTATGCACCTCTAATGTCGGCATATTTACTTAGGTTTTATCGCTTAATGAGTTTTAATATTTTGGTGGTGTTAACGGCTTTAGCCATGGTGACATATAGATCTTGATCTTTAATATGTATTATTCCAGCTCTTGGCACGGGATGCCAGCTGATTTCTTTTCTCTCAGTTGATTGGTATTTACCCTTTGGAGAATTTACATTTTCCTCCTCCCGAGATAATCATCCACTTGTATTTTCACATCATCCTGAACCTTTAATGATTTATACAAGAACACTTAATGGATATACAAGCAATGTCATGCCCTGTTTGGCTCGTGTCTCCCTCGTCTGTGTCTCCTCCCGTTTTTCCATATTTCTTGTTCGGGTATCGCTTGGGTCATCTTGCTGTGCCTGCCGATGTCTCAGATGTCCGTGTCTCAGATGCCCATCTTTTAGATGTCCGTGTCTCAGATGTCCGTGTCTCAGATGCCCGTGTCTCAGATGCCCGTGTCTCAGATGCCCGTGTCTCAGATGCCCGTGTCTCAGATGCCCGTGTCTCAGATGCCCGTGTCTCAGATGTCCGTGTCTCAGATGCCCGTGTCTCAGATGCCCGTGTCTCAGATGTCCGTGTCTCAGATGCCCGTGTCTCAGACACCCGCGTCTCAGATGCCCATCTCTCAGATGCCGATGTCTCAGATGCCCGTGTCTCAGATGCCCGTGTCTCAGATGTCCGTGTCTCAGATGCCCGTGTCTCAGATGCCCGTGTCTCAGACACCCGCGTCTCAGATGCCCATCTCTCAGATGCCGATGTCTCAGATGCCCGTGTCTCAGATGCCCGTGTCTCAGATGCCCGTGTCTCAGATGCCCGTGTCTCAGATGCCCGTGTCTCAGATGTCCGTCTCTCAGATGTCCGTCTCTCAGATGCCCGTGTCTCAGATGTCCGTGTCTCAGATGTCCGTCTCTCAGATGTCCGTCTCTCAGATGTCCGTCTCTCAGATGTCCGTCTCTCAGATGCCCATGTCTCAGATGTCCGTGTCTCAGATGTCCGTGTCTCAGATGCCCATGTCTCAGATGTCCGTCTCTCAGATACCCGTGTCTCAGATACCCGTGTCTCAGATGTCCGTGTCTCAGATGTCCGTGTCTCAGATGCCCGTGTCTCAGATGTCCGTCTCTCAGATGTCCGTCTCTCAGATGCCCATCTCTCCGATGCCTGTGTCTCAGATGCCCGTGTCTCAGATGCCCGTCTCTCAGATACCCGTGTCTCAGATGCCCGTGTCTCAGATGCCCGTGTCTCAGATGTCCGTCTCTCAGATACCCGTGTCTCAGATGTCCGTGTCTCAGATGTCTGTGTCTCAGATGTCCGTCTCTCAGATGCCCGTGTCTCAGATGTCCGTGTCTCAGATGTCCGTGTCTCAGATGCCCATGTCTCAGATGTCCGTCTCTCAGATACCCGTGTCTCAGATACCCGTGTCTCAGATGTCCGTGTCTCAGATGCCCGTGTCTCAGATGTCCGTGTCTCAGATGCCTGTGTCTCAGATGCCCATCTCTCCGATGCCCGTGTCTCAGATGCCCGTGTCTCAGATGCCCGTGTCTCAGATGCCCGTCTCTCAGATACCCGTGTCTCAGATGTCCGTGTCTCAGATGCCCGTGTCTCAGATGTCCGTGTCTCAGATGTCCGTGTCTCAGATGCCCGTGTCTCAGATGCCCATCTCTCAGATGCCCGTGTCTCAGATGTCCGTGTCTCAGATACCCGTGTCTCAGATGTCCGTCTCTCAGATGTCCGTGTCTCCGATGTCCGTGTCTCCGATGTCCGTGTCTCCGATGTCCGTGTCTCCGATGCCCGTGTTTCCGATGCCCGTGTCTCAGATGTCCGTGTCTCAGATGTCCGTGTCTCCGATGCCCGTGTCTCAGATGTCCGTGTCTCAAATATCCGTCTCTCAGATGCCCATCTCTCCGATGCCCGTGTCTCAGATGCCCGTGTCTCAGATACCCGTGTCTCAGATGTCCGTCTCTCAGATACCCGTGTCTCAGATGTCCGTGTCTCCGATGCCCGTGTCTCAGATGTCCGTGTCTCAAATATCCGTCTCTCAGATGCCCATCTCTCCGATGCCCGTGTCTCAGATGCCCGTGTCTCAGATACCCGTGTCTCAGATGTCCGTCTCTCAGATACCCGTGTCTCAGATGTCCGTGTCTCAGATGCCCGTGTCTCAGATGTCCGTGTCTCAGATGCCCGTGTCTCAGATGCCCATCTCTCAGATGTCCGTCTCTCAGATGCCCGTGTCTCAGATGTCCGTGTCTCAGATGTCCGTGTCTCAGATGTCCGTGTCTCAGATGTCCGTCTCTCAGATGCCCGTGTCTCAGATGTCCGTGTCTCAGATGTCCGTGTCTCAGATGCCCATGTCTCAGATGTCCGTCTCTCAGATGTCCGTCTCTCAGATACCCGTGTCTCAGATACCCGTGTCTCAGATGTCCGTGTCTCAGATGTCCGTGTCTCAGATGCCTGTGTCTCAGATGCCCATCTCTCCGATGCCCGTGTCTCAGATGCCCGTGTCTCAGATGCCCGTGTCTCAGATGCCCGTGTCTCAGATGTCCGTCTCTCAGATACCCGTGTCTCAGATGTCCGTGTCTCAGATGCCCGTGTCTCAGATGTCCGTGTCTCAGATGCCTGTGTCTCAGATGCCCATCTCTCCGATGCCCGTGTCTCAGATGCCCGTGTCTCAGATGCCCGTGTCTCAGATGTCCGTCTCTCAGATACCCGTGTCTCAGATGTCCGTGTCTCAGATGCCCGTGTCTCAGATGTCCGTGTCTCAGATGCCCGTGTCTCAGTTGCCCATCTCTCAGATGCCCGTGTCTCAGATGTCCGTGTCTCAGATGCCCGTCTCTCAGATACCCGTGTCTCAGATGCCCGTGTCTCAGATGTCCGTCTCTCAGATACCCGTGTCTCAGATGTCTGTGTCTCAGATGTCCGTGTCTCAGATGTCCGTCTCTCAGATGCCCGTGTCTCAGATGTCTGTGTCTCAGATGTCCGTGTCTCAGATGCCCATGTCTCAGATGTCCGTCTCTCAGATACCCGTGTCTCAGATGTCCGTGTCTCAGATGCCCGTGTCTCAGATGTCCGTGTCTCAGATGCCTGTGTCTCAGATGCCCATCTCTCCGATGCCCGTGTCTCAGATGCCCGTGTCTCAGATGCCCGTGTCTCAGATGCCCGTGTCTCAGATGTCCGTGTCTCAGATGCCCGTGTCTCAGATGCCCGTGTCTCAGATGCCCGTGTCTCAGATGTCCGTCTCTCAGATACCCGTGTCTCAGATGTCCGTGTCTCAGATGCCCGTGTCTCAGATGTCCGTGTCTCAGATGCCTGTGTCTCAGATGCCCATCTCTCCGATGCCCGTGTCTCAGATGCCCGTGTCTCAGATGCCCGTGTCTCAGATGTCCGTCTCTCAGATACCCGTGTCTCAGATGTCCGTGTCTCAGATGCCCGTGTCTCAGATGTCCGTGTCTCAGATGCCCGTGTCTCAGTTGCCCATCTCTCAGATGCCCGTGTCTCAGATGTCCGTGTCTCAGATGCCCGTCTCTCAGATACCCGTGTCTCAGATGCCCGTGTCTCAGATGTCCGTCTCTCAGATACCCGTGTCTCAGATGTCTGTGTCTCAGATGTCCGTGTCTCAGATGTCCGTCTCTCAGATGCCCGTGTCTCAGATGTCTGTGTCTCAGATGTCCGTGTCTCAGATGCCCATGTCTCAGATGTCCGTCTCTCAGATACCCGTGTCTCAGATGTCCGTGTCTCAGATGCCCGTGTCTCAGATGTCCGTGTCTCAGATGCCTGTGTCTCAGATGCCCATCTCTCCGATGCCCGTGTCTCAGATGCCCGTGTCTCAGATGCCCGTGTCTCAGATGCCCGTGTCTCAGATGTCCGTCTCTCAGATGTCCGTGTCTCAGATGCCCGTGTCTCAGATGCCCATCTCTCAGATGCCCGTGTCTCAGATGTCCGTGTCTCAGATACCCGTGTCTCAGATGTCCGTGTCTCAGATGTCCATGTCTCAGATGTCCGTGTCTCCGATGTCCGTGTCTCCGTGTCTCCGATGTCCGTGTCTCAGATGCCCGTGTCTCAGATGTCCGTGTCTCAGATGTCCGTGTCTCAGATGCCCGTGTCTCCGATG